CAGTTTAGCACCAAACGGAATGTTATTATTACTGATGACTTCCAAATTTATTTACCTTTCCGTATGTACCGTAATATTTGATAAAGAGAAACCAATCGTTGAGATATTGTCAAAAGTCTAACACTGCTTCTTGACGCCAAACTCGGCCTACGGATTCTAAACTCGGCCTAACGCATTGAAACGCCAATGAAATCACTTCGGCCTATCGAATGAAGATAAAAATTGATTCGGTTGGAGCGCTTCTTTTGGTTTTTGGGAATAATGGGTGCAAACCTTCATATCACGCGTTCTCATTGACTTCGTTCCGTAGCTTATTAACTAAAGTATCGTACCAAACGCATAATTGACTTGTTAACTCTGAAATCATGGATTTATTTGAAGTTTTCTGCTCGATAGGCCCAAAATGGGCGATTAGGCCGAAGTAGTTCTCTACCCTATCATGAGAATTTTGAACAAAGAAAAATTAAAACCCCGTAAAAGAATAATTCAGTTTCGGTTTTACAAATAATTGTTTCCAATGTCCAGCATCTTCAATATTTTCATTCAAGGATCATGCACTTTACATCTGAAATTGAAACGGCAAAAATCAATTTGCAATATTGCTGAGTGATTAAATTTAAAAAAACAATAAGGAAATCTCAAAAAACCAGCACATACTATGGATTTTACAGTGATTTTACATGAATTCTAGATTTTTAGGGAGGTACCCAATTAGAAAAATCACCCAAACGAAGAGTAAGACAACGAGATATCGTTTTCAAATATTCTAAAAAAATGTTCCTCAAGTAATTTTCTTCAAAAAACTCTTGGACGGCAATATCGTAACCAGGTCACTTTCAATCGAAAATCGTCAAGCGACGATGAAGCTGTCAACCATCACTTTCAATTGAAAGACATTCTGTCTTTTCTTCGAGCAGATACCCCTCAACATCTACAGGACCACTTTCGATCAGTTTTCATGCTGTTTGTTTTAGCTTGACTCGTGTTCATTTCTTCTTTCATTGTCAAATGAACTTACTTTTGCATGCATTGAAGCAAAGCTGTTCGATCCAAATACGTGCAGTTTTTATGACTTTTGTTGCTTGTTCACTCGGTTCATTTTGGTTCAGATCTGTGCACGTGGATGTCAAATTTACCATTGTCGGGTGGTTTGTTTACCCATCAATATTATAGTCGCTATATTCATAGTCTGGCGGATAGAATATCAGGAACCAATTGAGCAAATCACGACCAACAATAGAAAAGAGCACATCAGCTATTGCGAACAAAACTTTGGAAACCGTTTTCTCGTGATTCAAGGCTCGCCTACGCAAACTAACACTATCTTTGGGTTTGTGGAAAGATTCCCCAATCTTGATGCCGGTGATTTGCGTTCGATTGTCGAGGAAAGAATAATCAACGTTTGGGTTATAAAAGTTTATAGGACCTTTTCAATTGTTGGTCTAAAATATATTGAATTAGTTCCACTTTTTGATAGATCGAAATTCTATCCGCCAGACTATGAATATAGCGACTATAATCAAATATGGGTATTTTTTTACTCGGGGTAACGTCTAGAGATCAAAAAATTAAATGCGACGCCATTTTGACATCCAAGATGGTGGATTCCAGTTTAAGAAAAAGTGGGAAATGCTGTCAAATACTTATCAATAAAGATATTTTGGGAATCGGGATGATGTCTAGAGGATGAAAATCGATATCTGACGCCATTTTGAAATTGAAGATGGCGGCTTGGAAATACAATCAAATACACATCAATATTAGTATTTTTGTAATCAGGATGACATTAAGAGGCCGTAAATCGATATTCGACGCCATTTTTAAATCCAATATGGCGGCTTCCTATTTCAGAAAAAATGGGAAATGCTGATGCCGTCCCATCAATATGGGTATTTTTGGAATCGGGGTGAGGTTTGGAGATCGGAAATCAATATCCGACGCCATTTTGAAATCCATGATGGCGGCTTCCGGTTTGAGAAAACGTTTTAAATTCTATCAAATACCCTTACAAACGGTTTTTTTTAGCATCAGGGTGACATCTAGAAGCCAGAGATAGATGTCCAACGCCATCTTGAAATTCAAGATGGTGGCTTCCGGTTTCATAAGAAGTGTCAAATAGCCTACAAATAGCATCGAATATTGATTTTCAGCATCTACGCGTCGTCCTCGTTCCGAAAATGCCCAGATCTTAGGGTATTTGACACTTTTCCGATGGCCGCCATATTGGATTCCAAAATGGCATCTGATATCGACTTTCGGCTTTCACACGTTGACCCCATTCCAAAACTCTCTGAACCTCGCTCTGAACCCTCATGGCCGCCATATTCAATTCCAAAGGGGTATCTGATATCGATTTTCGGCATCTAAAGGGCGAACACGAAATTATTGCGACACATTCAACAGGGCATAACTTTTTTACCATTGGGTAAAAATCAACCAAATTTTGCACACTTTCTCATTGATGTGTATTGTGTACATGCTGTCAAACTCGAAGTCGTGTTTTTCGATTCAACGAAAATGGAGGTGAACCAACGCGAGTTGAGAGAACAAATTCTTTCCAAACACCTGGAATTTCCTGACCTGTCGCACCGGCAGTTGGGAAAAATGTTGAACATTCACCATTCAACCGTCTCCAGAGTGTTGAAGCGGTTCCAGGAGTGGTTGACGTTGGACCACGGCAAAGGAGCTGGAAGAAAACCGGGACCGGAGAACAAAAAGACGGAGGGAAAGGTGAAGCGGATGATTAAAGCAAATCCCAACGTCTCAAGCCGTGATTTGGCTAAAAAGATCGGCATGTCGCAGAGCTACGTCCAGAATGCAAAGAAGAGAGCTGGACTACATACATACAAGGTACAAAACTTCCCAAACCGCGATGAGCGGCAACAATCGACGGCTAAAACTCGGGCACGGAAGCTCTACGAGAAGATGCTGACAAAATATGGCTGCTGTGTGATGGACGACGAAACGTATATATAAAAGCCGATTTTAAGCAAATTCCGGGGTTGGAGTTTTTCACCGGCAAGAGCAAGTTCGATGTGGCCTTCAAATTTAAGAAGAAGAAAATGTCGAAGTTCGCCTCCAAATATCTCATTTGGAAGGCCATCTGCTCTTGCGGACTGAGGAGTGAGCCTTTCGTGACAAAGGGCACAGTAAATGGCGAGATCTACAAATCTGAGTGCCTCGAGAAGCGCCTTTTGCCGTTCTTGCAGCAGCACGACGAAGCTCCGCTATTTTACCACTATTCTAAAAGTGTCCTGGAGTGGTATGAGGCCAATTCTGTCCATTTTGTTCCAAAGGACATGAATCCACCAAACTGTCCGGAGGTGCGCCCGGTGGAGCAGTACTGGGCAATAATGAAGCGGGATCTTCGGAAGAGCAAGAAGACAGTCAAAGACGAGAAGGACATGTTAAGAAAATGGAAAAAAAACTGAGAAACTGGTACCGGATGACACTGTAAAGACTTTGATGGAGGGCATCAAGCGAAAATGCGTTCAATTTTACACTCAAGGCTCCATCGATTAACTTTTCTTTTGATTTTTTAAGTAAATATATGTATAAAACTACCCTAAAATTTTGGTTTGATTCTAAACATTATAAGAAAATTGGCATGACATTTTCGGTGTCGCAATAATTTCGTGTTCGCCCTTTACGCGTTGTCCCTGTTCCAAAAATAACCATATTGTAGGGTATTTGACACTTTCTGAATCCTGATGGCTGCCATATTGGTTCCGAAAATACCCATATCTTAGGGTATTTGATACTTCATAAAACCAATGGCCACTATCTTGAATTCCAAAATGGCGTCGGATACCGGTTTTCAGCATCTACGCGGCATCCCCGTTCCGAAAATATCCTATTGTAGGGTCATAGACAAACAGACATAGCACATTGAATATTTATCACTGTAAAACATCGTCGCTAAAACATTACCACCATCTTTTGAATACACTGTGATGGGTAGTACGCTGAACAGATGGTGGTAGTGTGTAAACGTCAAAGGCAAGGCGATTGACTGTGCGCGCGACAGGTGGCGATACTACCAACTACGATAATTTTGAATTGACCGTTAAATGCTTGTTCGATGAACAACTTGCGAGAGTTATGTCTGTTTGTCTGTGGTAGGGTATTTGACACTGAAATCCGATGGCCGCCACTTTGGATTCCAAAATAACGTCGAATATCGATTTTCGGCACCTTCGCGTCGTCGATATTGTGTGGATACTATCCGGATACTGCGTCGTCAGGTCGTGAGAAGTCGAATGAGCCCCGAATTGAAGTGAAAGAGGAAAAAACGAAGGAAGCAGTTTTCGAGTCATTCATTGCGTCAATTGAAACAAGTCTTTGCTTCAAACGAAATGAGCTGAAGCACTTGACGAACGAAACAAGTGAGAGTCCAGACATGTTTGAAAAGAGGAATGTTCATCGTGACTCGATAACAAGAAACACAATGACTTACACGAAAATGATATTGCTCGAAATGAAGCGATTCTGCGGAGAGTTCATTTTCTTTTCTTTGTTTCGAAAATGCAAAACCCTGATCGTAACATGCTTTAGTTAGGCAGTATACGACCGACATCGGGACAACATACCAAACTTCATAAAGAGGGTGGTACCACAAAATTATCGATAATCGATTTGTTGCACAGTGTAATAGTTATAGGGCTTGAGCGAGGTAATAATCACTCGATGCCAGGATGATGTTTTTTGGTTCAGTGTAGATTATCTGCGGCCCAAATCAACCCGTTATCATACGCATATTAAAATAAAAAACTCTTTCAATAACTACATTATTCACGCCCAACTGAAAACGTCAAATTCAAGATACATATCAACATTCCGCTACCGCAATCCAGTAACATAAGATCGTAACGAAAACCAGCTACATATACCTAGCTACTACGAAACAACAAAACCTACATCACCGAATCGAGCGACCAAAACTGCTACACTCTACAAAACGCACACGCACACAAACAAACAAACACAAAGGAGCAAATCACCTGGAGACGCCGGTCCCGGGCTGAGGCTGAGACTCTCGCACGAGGGCAGCTTGTGCAGCGGAACCAGCAGCGACGTCCGGCGAAACTTCTTCTCTTCGGCCGAACGAGGATCTTCCGGTTGATTGGATGCGTTGATGGGTCGATTTTAAAGTTGAAATTGCACACAGTGTAGACGAGTTAAAATGTGTGTGAGTATGAAGTCGATTGAAAGCGGTGCACCCACAAAAAAAGTAAACAAAGTTCCACGATGGGAACGATTGGGAAAGAAGAAGAAGAAGAACAAAGAAGCAAATTGTTACTGACCACTACTTTCCACAGGTTTTATATAAAAGAATGATGTCGGTTGGTTCGCTACTAAGTACTGCCTCTAGATAGCTACACTACTCTAAGTTGGATGGGAATAAGTGGTGGCAAAAAGGTCAACTGTTGATTTGCATAGCTCACTACTCTTACATCTACCAATGGAACCGTCAAGTGCAAAGGAAGAAGAAGAAGAAGAAAATAGCACCAACGCAGTTTGTTGTCTGTTGACAGGGAAGGGACCGGGACGGGAAAAATTAAAAATGCACAATCAAAGCTGAAAACAAAAAGCAAAACAAAAAAGCGTCCGACCCGACGGCACTAACGTGGGCATCAGGATAGAATAATTACTTAATGGCAAATTAATTAAATGGAAAATTAGATGCACAGAGTCACTGTGCACCACAGTGACTCGAGGGGGGGGGGGGGGGGGGGTAGGCGGAAGCTTAATCAAGCCGTTTAACATTTCGCTGGAATTTTGGTGAGACATATTACGCCTAAATGTAGACAATGAAAAATAATGGTTCATGAGCACAGTCCGAAGTGCTTCAGTAAAACTCTCGTTAGTTAAGTAAGTGTGTATACCTATCAATCAATCTACAAATGATGTTTAGGTCCGAAAATATGTTTCTGATGATGGTACTAAGACGAAGGGCTCATCAAACGACAGTGAGCCGCCCAGCTGAAAGTGAGTGCACAATGTACAGGTAATACACACGGGATAATAGCTGCCCATAATTGCATAATCTTATACGGTTGCGTGCCTTCAAAGATGATGATGATGATAGGTGCGATGCATTGGCTAGTTAAAGGGAAGAAAAGTGTTTCATGCTGCCAGTTTTGTTATAATTACAAGTTCCGGATAGGTGCGTCCACTGCCTCGCTACCTCACTCTCATCCATTAAGCGAAAGCCATTTACACTTTTATGGAATCGAACTATGATTACAGGTATTTTCGATATAATGATACTTGGGTAAAGAATAATCAACCTGTCATCCCTTGAGACGCCACTGAACCCTGTCTTAGCGCAGAACTTCCTCTCGTCGCCCTTGGGGATATCCCCACAAACATTCTTCAAGTTTCAAAAAACAATAAAGCAGAACGGAGCAAAGCTTTTACCATTGATTGCTTTGAGACATGTCAGGGAGCCTCTTAAGAGCCGAGATCACGCAACCGGCAACAACCTTTCGAACTTATGTTTCATCCCAACACCAACACCACTACCGCCGCCGCCGGCGATGAGGATGGGGCTATCGGAAATGACATCGATAAAACTAGTTGACAAATGATGCCCTCTGCCCTCCACGGGAGGAGAATCGAAAAGTTTCTGATGGACACAGGTTCGATTCTAACGCAGCAACCATGACGACCACGTTCGTGGAGTCATGGACAACGGAGACAGATACTTGTGGTTGAAGTATACAGAAGAAAGCAACCGCTGTGCGGGATAATTTATTGGGAAAGTCACTCTGAACTGAGCTGACTGTTCCAAAGCATAATTTGTCTGAGAGTCAATTTTGAAGGGCTCGTCTTGTGTTGAATGGATTGTGGTGCGAAGGATTTAAGGCTCAATTGTCAATCAATCAAGCGTTTACTTGTATGCATTTTCCACTTTGACAGTATTGGTGTTATCGAGATTTTCATCAATCATGGTAAATTAATACAGAGCTACATCATACATATTTTTTAAAAAATTTGATAGGTGGGTAGTATTGAAATTATGTTGCTTAATAGGAAAGGTTATTCCATTTCTATTATATTGGGATTCTCCGAAATTCCAAAAAAGAGTTATCCCCTCAATTCCTCGTGGAGTTCATCGGAATTCATTGTTATCTCATATTAGCATTCTATGGAATGTCAAATGGAAAAGTAGGGTAAATGATCGTGGTTCGAACCATTTTCATTGTTTTTCCAAAGATTTCTACAAAATCAATACGATTATCAACAAGATCTTAGTATAGGGGAAATGTCTCTAACGTTGGCCTATGGATCTAAGATTGGGCCCATCGCTAAAAACCTGCTGTTTATCAATTTTATCTAGATGAACGCGTTATTGGGACGTTACTAATGAATATTTTAGGTTGCTATTGAAAATTTAGTCGATTGCTGAATTTATGTATGGGCCCAAATTAGGAACACTTAGACCGGCATTACCTGCATTTCCCCTATATGGAAATAACAACAAAAAAACAATTCTAATTGTTCGCTTGGAAGGAAACTATAATGTCTTGTTGACTTATAATTTGATTTTTGATGATAGCGAACTAATTATCCTGCTTCGAACTATGCTTATCATGGTTCGAGCCATTAAAGAGTTTAGTTCGAACTATGGATTTCAAAAATCCCATTTGTTGAAATTGTGGTATTACAAGTGATTGAAACGTACTTGCGATACTAGATGAACTTTTGTGTTTTCCCCTTATCCACCTAGAAGAGTGAAATAAACGAGTAAATTTAATTAAGTTCATGATCAGACTGTTATACATGTTAGACTGTTCCAAACACGATAAATTCAGACTTCATTTTACATACCGTTACAGACATGGTGGCCAGTGAATTTTCATCTTGAAATTCAAATCTTAAAAATTTCCCGGTTGTAAAAATTCAAGAAAAAACTAAATTGGGAGTAATAAAAGTAAAATTACAGATAGTATTTGGTAAAACTTGATATTAATGAGAATTAGAGAAAATTGTTAGGGATATCGGAAAAAGAAAATGTGTCTTAACTTCGTTGTCTATACTAACATAAATATTAACCTTTCAGTACTCACGCTGATGTAGAAAGTTAAAAACGAAAAAAATGTGTAAAACCTACTGACGTTGGAACTCGCTCAACGTGAAACTAAACATGATTCATTAAATTCAATACCCACGTCCATTAGACCAATACTTGAAGAATATTACTGAAAGGTAATTTACTGAAGCAATTTACTGAAAGATTAAACAAATGTGATTTAAGAAGATTCCCAAGATTCTGGGGCAACTTGAAGAACTTTTTTTTTTTAATTTGAGATTGATAACAATCTGCAATGCAAGATTTGGAGAAAAAATATTTAAAATGTGAGATTTTGCCATTTTTCGTGGAGGCATTTTAAGGGTTATACAAATTAGAGAACAATCTATAAAATTGTGGACAAACCCTAATTTTTTTAGTATAATTTTAAAATATTCAAAGTGTTGATTTCAAACAAATATTTAAGAGGATTCCCTCTTAGGTGAATCGATTAGCTTGGGACCGAAGAGAGTACCAGAGCTGAGCCAAAAAGTTGAGCATGTTATTTCGGGACCTTCTAGTCTTAGAGTTACCTCTATGGTATTAGTCAATAGAGATAGAGATAGAAATAAAAGAGGAAGAAGCCAATTGTCACCTCTTCCTCTTAGGTCTAGATAACCACTTGACAGATTGTGATGTAGGATTTTGCGATCTTGGATCGATTTTTGAGAGATCGATCTTTTTCATCTCGATTTTCGATTTTTTGCATCGATTTTTTGTACGTTAAAAAATCGCAAAAATCGTGTGTATAGGAAAATCGATTTGTGTTCACGTCAAACCATTTGGAAAATTTAATGAACATAACCTAAAAATCTGCATCACCATAGTCGCTCCTAATGTTATATAAAATAGGTGACAATAAATACGAGTAGTTCCATGTTAAAGGGTGTCCACGATGAAATTGCCCCACACAAAATTGATTCGCAAAATTCGAGTTTTCATCCGATTGCCATCAAATTTTCAGGGATTGAGAAATAACTATTAAACTTCATTTTACCATTTTACTCGTATTTTATTTACAGTCCATACGCAAATGCCCGCACCTTGGCCTTAACCCCGGCCATAAGATTCTGCACAACCTGTGAATCAACCGTTTTTTGCATGTAAACCCATACTTTCTTCAGTTCCTCGACTGTCTTCACTACCTTAGGTCGTTTAAGAAGGTGCTGCTTCATAATCGCCCAGTACTTCTCGATGGGGCGGAGCTCCGGAGTGTTGGGAGGGTTGAACATTTTCGGCACGAAATTGACCTTATTGTCCGCATACCACTTCAGCACGTCCTTGGAGTAGTGGCATGAGGCCAAATCCGGCCAGAAGATTGTTGGGACGTTGTGGGCCTTCAGGAGAGGAAGCAGCCGCTTCTGGAGGCACTCTTTTATGTACACCTGTCCGTTCATCGTGTCCTGGGTCACGAAAGGTGCACTCCGCTTCCCGCACGTGCAGATGGCTTGCCAAACCAGGAATTTCTTCGCAAATTTGGACATCTTCTGAGTGCGGACATGCTCCGGAACGCTGAACTTATCCTTGGCCGTGAAAAACAGGTTGCCGGGGATCTGTTTGAAGTCGGCCTTCACATATGTTTCGTCGTCCATGATGCAGCATTCAACTTTCTTCAGCATGTTGAGGTACAACTTCCTGGCACGGGTTTTGGCGGACTTGTTCTGCTGCTCGTCGCGATTAGGAGCCTTTTGTACCTTGAACGTTCGAAGCCCAGCCTTAGTTTTGGCCTTCTGGACAAAACTTCGGCTTAGGTGCAGCTTCTTAGCCACATCCCTAACGGAGGCGTTCGGATTTCGGTTGAAGGCCCCAACTACGCGGTTGTGATTTTTGGTGTTGTACGGAATACTTTTTCCTTCACTTCTGGGCTTCCCATCGGTGGTCAACCGTTCCTCGAACCGCTTAATCACTCGCGACACCGTGGAATTCGCGATTCCCAACGTTTTAGCGATGGAACGATGCGAGAGATCCTTGTTCTCGTGATGAATGCGCAAGATTTTATCACGCACGAGCTGTTCTTTCGACTCCATTTCCGCGAGT